TATAGCCACTGCGAGCCCGCACCCTGTTACTGTTTGTACCATTTTAGGCATTGCAGCTCTGCCAGCGCACCCTGCTTGTACTATTTACTATTTTATGTGCTGCAAGCCCGCACCCCTGCTTGTACAAATATAGCCACTGCACGACTGCGGGCTGCCAGGCTGCAAACCTGTTTGTACCATGACCGCCATTGCGAATACTACGGTTTATAATATATAGATTCTGCATTACCTTAACGACCTATAAACTACAGGAAGTATGGTACATTTCGTAATATGGGTAATGCAGGATTTATATCATCAACCGTAGTACGCACCCAGTCGATACCATTCGCTACCATTTACAGCCACTGCGGGCTGCCAGCCCGCACCGCTGTTTGTACCGGTGCATTCATTAGCTGCGGGCAGCCACCCCGTACCAATAAGCCACGACGGGCATGCACCCCTGTTTGCGGCAGTAAAGCCGCAGCGGGCTGCCAGCCCGTACCAGCATAGCCGCCGCGGGCTGCCAGCCTGCACCCCTGTTTGTACCATTGTAGTAAAGCCACTGGGCTGAGAGCCCGTACCAGTGGAGCAGTTCCCGCACGTCTGTTTGCACCGTTCAAGCCGCGGAGGGCTGCCAACCCGTACCAGTATGGCCACTGCGGGCTAGCCCACAGAAACAGGGGTACGGGCTGCCAGCCTGCATTGGGTATACTGGTACGGTACAAACATGCTGGCACCCTGCAGAGGCTTTAGTGGACAAACAGGTGTGCGGGCTGCCAGCCCGTTCCAGTACCAGCTGCACCCCTGTTTGTACCATGAAAGCGGCTACGGGTTGCCAGCTTTCGGGCTGCCAGCCTGCACCCGTGTTTGCATTATTAAAGCTGGTGGGAGTGTTAGTTTGTAACAGTAAAGCCACTGCGGCCTGCCAGTCCACACCCGTTTTTCTATACCATTTAAAGCAGCTACGAGCTGCCAGCCCGTGCCCGTATAGCCACTGCGGGCTCCCAGCCCGCACCCCTGTTTGTGCCATTAAAGCCGCTACGGGCTGCCAGCCTGCATGCACGCCTGCTTGTACCGTTACAAGTTACAACCGCTGCGGGATGCCAGCCCATACTTGACAGGGTGTGGAGGAAGTGCAGGCGAGCTAAATGTACAAAGCCAGCGAGTGTGTTTATACCATTGTAAACACTGCCACCCTGTTTGTACCAGGATAGCCACTGCGGGCTGTCAGCCCGCATCCTGTTCTTACCAACACAACCACTGCGGGCTGCCAACCCCATTTGTACCATTAATAGGCATTGCAGCTCTGCCAGCGCACCTTGCTTATGCTGTTTTGTGTGCTGCCAGCCCGCACCAATACAGCTGCCAGCCCGCAACCCTGTTTGCACTGTTCAAGCGCCTGCCTGCACCCATGTGTTTGCGTCAATAAAGCTGCTGCGGGCTGCTCGCCCGTACCAGTTTAGCCATTGGGGGCTGCCAGCCTGCACCCCTGTTATTAAAGCCACTGCGGGCTGCCAGCCTGTGCCAGTATAGCCCTATTTGTACAAGCCGCTGTGGGCTGCCAATAAGCCAGCCGCAATGAGCCAGCCCGCACCAAGATAGGCATTAAAACCGCTGCGAGCTGACAACCCCTACCAGTATAGCCACTGCGGGCTGCCAGCCCGCGCCCATGTAACGCCGCTGCGGGCTGCTAATCCGTACCAGTATATATGCTCTCGGGTCCCGGGCCCCCACCCCCGCCAGTGGTATCACGCCCCACCCCTATGGTACCCCTCCCCTGTTCTGCTGGTGCGTTGGTTGCCCGCCCTGCTGCGTGCCGCGCTTCCCCCCCACACCGCCTATATGGTACGCCACCTCTGCCCTGTGTGGAAAGCGGCAATCTGCGCAGTATTGCGCAGTAGTTTCCCGCATCAGGCATGAGTTACATTGCATTAATTATGAGGGCTGTATGGCAATGGTGATGGTGGCAGCTCTTCTTTTGATGGTACTGATGATGAAGATGACGACGACAATGATGATGTTGAGCATGATGTCAAAAACGATCTGATTGTCGACCAGTGTCGCCGTCCAGAGCAGCACAACATCATGAGCAGTACCACCGGTGCCACAGCAAGAAGCAAGATGAAGAGCAACACATAAGAACTTCAAGCACGGCGGACGCGGGCCGCACGACCATAGAAGATGTAGACATGAACGGTGGTGGAGAAGATCAGAACAAGTCCTCTTAAAAATTCCACGTATCAGTAGTTGAGTCACTATAATCGTGACAACAAGTCCTTGTGTTACATGTGTTGCGTATTCCAATTCAGGCCAACCAAAGCCTGAGCTACCGGGGGTGCAAACAACGAAACCACGGCGCCGGTTGGGGATGCAGGGGCGAAGGGTACCACCACAGGCCCCACCCCACAAGAGGTGCAGGGGGGGAGGATACCATGGGCGGGGAGGGAACGGTGTGGCAGCCACCCGCACCCCGGTTTGTACCATTAAAGCCGCAGTGGGTCAGCCCGTATCAGTATAGTCACTGCGGGCTGCTAGCCGCTACCCCCTGTTTGTGCCAGTAAAGCCACTGCGAGCTGACAGCCCGTACCAGTATACGGGCTGCCCGCCCGCACCCGTGTGTTTGTGCGGGTAAAGCCGCTGCGGGCTGCTAGCCCGTACCAGTAAAGCCACTGCGGGTTTGCACCATTAAAGCCGCTGTGGGCTGCCAGCAGCCCTTACTTGTTTAGCCACCTTGCATGCACCCCTGCGGGCTGCCAGCCCGCACCCTGTTGGCAGGATGCCAGCCCGCACCTTGTCTGTACTATTGCGCAGCCACTGTGGCTGTTTACAAAACTATGGCCACCGCGGGCAACCAGCCGCACCTTGTTTGTATCAATGTAGCCACCGCGGGGCTGCCACCATTATAAAACCACTGCCAGCCCACCATGAAAGCGGCTGCGGGCTGCCAGCCTGCAACCCTGTTTGTACAAATATCGCCTCAGCTGGCTGCCAGCCTACACCCCGTTTGTACCATTATAGCTACTGCGGGCTGTGCGGGCTGTCAGCCCGCACGCTGTTTGCACCATCACGTAGCCATGTCAAGCCTTGTACCATTACAGCCACCAGCCCGTGCTTGGCTGTTTATACTATTATAACCACTGCGCTCACCCGTATTTGTTCCATTTTTGCTACTGCGGGCTGCCAGTGTAGCTGTCTGTACCATTAAACCCACTGCGACAGCTGTCGCCATTATAGCCATTCACACCCTGTTTGTACCAATATAGTCCGCGGGGCCAGCCAGCACCGTGTTGTATAGCCACTGTGACCTACTGCGGGCTGTGGAGGCTGCTAGCCTTCACCCTGTTTGTGGACCGCAGCGGCTGTAATGGTACTGGTAGCATCAATCAACAGGGTGCAGCCCGCACTGGCTTTTATTCTACAAGCAGGGGTGCGGGCTGGGAGCCCGCAGTGGCTATGATGGTATAAGCGTGTCAGTATGGCCACTGCGGCCTGCAAGCCCGCACCCTATTTGTACCATTATCGTTGCTGCGGGCTGCCAGCCCGGGCTGTCGGCCCGCACCCTTTATCGCCACTGTGGGGTGCGCAGCCTGCAGTGGCTCCGAGGGGTACAAACAAGGGTGCAGGCTGGCAGCCCACAATACCTATAATGGTACAAACACGGGTGCCCGCATAATGCTGTAAACAGCCGGGCGCGGGCTGGTGGCAGCAATGGGACAAGGCTAGCGCCCAGGCGTGGTTGTAATCATACAAAATCGTACAAACATGCTGCCAGCCGACAGAATGCGGACTGGAAGCTGCAGTGGCTACAATAGTACAAACAGTGGTGCTGACTGGTGTGGATAAAATGGCACAAACAAGGGTGCACGCTGGCAGCCTGCAACGAACAGGGGTCCGGGCTGACAGCCCGCAGTGGCTGCACCGGTATACAAGCAGGGTGCAGGCTGACAGCTTGAAATTGTTACAACAGGGTGCGGGCTGGCACCCTGCAGCGACTGTAATGGTGCAAAAGTAAGGGTTGCCGCGGGTAGCCTGTTCAGGCGCGCGGGCTGCCGGCCCGCACTCTGTTTGTGCCATTATAGCCACTGCGCCCTGCTAGCCGGCATCCTTTTTGGATCATTGTAGCCACTGCCGCACCATGTTTGCGAAGCACACAGTTATAGCCACAGACTGCTCGCCGGCATCCTGCTACAGCCACTGCGTGATCTGTTGGGGTCATTCTAACTGCTGCGGGCTGCCAGCCCGCATCCCTTTTTCTTAGCCACTGCGGCTGCTAACCCACACCGCAGCCTGTCTGTACTACTAGACCCACTGCAGGATGCCAGCCGCACCCTGGTTGGTTCTGTATACAAATTTGTCTATTCATCTGCTGTGCGAACACGCACACACACACACAGAGACAGAAAGACTTCACTTCAGACTAACGTGGCCTACAATGAACATGAGTGCAGAGACCATCAAACACAGAAGATGCATGGCACGCCAGTCTTCTTTTTCCGTCGGTGACGCTGGGGAACATCCTGTGTCTCGGTTGGGTTCTACCCTAAAGCTACGCGCAGCCCCCGGCCCAGGGGGTTGCAGCCGCCAGTGCGGGCCCCAGGGCAGGGACTACCTTCACCCAGAAGCAAAATGCTCACGAGACACTACTTCTACTTGCAAGCTGTGATGCCACAATCTTGCAGCACGTGTCACACGAACAAGGCACTCATGCACAGACTCAACACGGGCATGCACATGCGTGTGGAACTTGCAAGTTGCTCACTGTGAGCCTAAGTGAAAGAGTTATCATGTCGCAGGCTCCATGACGACACTCATTATAATGCGTAGCGCCGCCCACTCCGCGCCATCCATACATGCTTCTATTTCTCTCCAGATTGTATCACTGCAAAACAGCAACTTTGTTAGTAACCCCCCTCTCGGGCCGGCACAGCTTCACCTCGGGCATCTCCGGTCCGGCGTTGCCTGCAGTTTGCCTCAGTGATTGTAAGAGTCAAGCAACCAAACCGGGTTTTGTGGTAGATTATTCAGAACCAAGGCTTCGGGCATGTCCCCTGTAGCCGGCCGGACGCTGCAAATGTAGGCACAAGTTTGCCTCAAAGAGTTCAGCTGAGTAAGGCAAAACATACCGAAGCTAGTAAGCACCCTGCCTTGTCGTGATGTCCACGCGGCCACCTGCAGCTGAACAAGGCGCAGAAACGATGTGTCATCACCCGTTTGAGTTAGCACTGCGCTTGTACACAGCCATGCTAACAAACGTGTGAATGTCATAGTTCTGCTTTCGTGTCCTTAATTTCAACAGGGTTTTCAGTGGCTTCGCATCATTGCTCGGGTGTCGATGGCGGTGGTAGGCACAACGAAGGCTAAAATAAAATCACTGGTCGCACGTACAGGCCAGCACCTACAACTGGAAGCCTAACGAGCTTCTGGACTTGTGGTACTATCAGATACTTTTTCCGCTGTAATATGATGTAGTCTACTACAATTATATACGATAACATACTTGAAGATGCACCATAAGAAATTGTCAGAAATAGAATCACCAATCTTCTGCAATGATCGCGGTGTAACGACGTGGCCCAGCCTAGTAGCCCTTTTCTGAGGAGGACGGGAATCAAGCGCAGCAGGTCAGTGTGGCTCCTGGTGCTCTTCGATGCTTTTTTTGGGCTGCGGTGAAGTCCCCCACCGGTCCCTTTTGCCTCCAGCCTCCGATGACCGTCTTGCTGGGCCTCACAGAGTTCTGTGGCCTGGCGGAATCCCGGGAAAAAGCCGAATCTCTGTTTTAAAAAACCCACATCTTCCAAGCACTGAGTCAAGGAACTGCTGAAAATCAAGGCTCGTTGGGCCATAGCCATGTCCCACCTCTTCGCAAGCGCGCAGACAAGTCGGGACGCAGCGAGCTGCGCTGAGGCCGGATCCCCCAGTGGTTCTTGGGCAGATTCTGCCTGTGGCTTCGTCCCAAAATGAAGGCTCGGATCAGCAGCTCAAGGGCGTAAGAAAACAGCTTTGCGCTTGCACGTTGCGATGGAAGTCCGTGCTTCAGATCATGGAATCTGTCAAGCTACTATGTCCCGTGGATTCTCATCTGACTTTCGAATCAACATTGAAGCGCGATCGGGAGCAAACTGAAAGTAGGGTTGGGTCAGGACATATGAAATGCCCACCGGCAATCACTCTCGTCCGAAAGCTCAGCCCCGTTTTGAACAGCCTCCACCAGTGTCTAAACAACTAGGCGTGGCTGAGATGTCCTCGGCACCAGAGCTCCACACTGCAAGACCATTCAGGAACCTGTCGCTGTTCGGGCTGTGCACTCGATCAAAGCGGGCATCCATCAACGCAATCACTCGCAAATCCAAGTGGCCTCTCTGCTGCTGTGGTGTCCAAGGGCATGCCTTCCGAGCTTTCAAGAGAGGAGGTGTAAGGTGAACCTGGTGACATTGGATGTTGCTCGGCCCATGACGCGGGACCGGATCACCCGTCCTTGCCCATGATTGCTGCCGGTGCCTGAAGCTGCAGAAAGCCATCACAAGCACCAACACACACCGGAAGCTTCTAGTCATGTCACATCGGAATTAAGCTCCGAGCAGCTCGTCCTCTGCTACTGCCGGGGCTGGCAAGCCTGATTGGGACACCTGATCGTTTGCTGTGTGCTGCTGGGCCAGGGAACGGTACTGATACAATAGGTCTCAAGCTTCCCGTTTGGCCGAGCAGCCGTCTGATAGAGCGACGTGTGATCAAGGCTCTTGGATCTCTGAAGTACGAGTCCACGACACTCCTGTCCCAACAAAGCCTTTGCTCAAGAGGATCGCTTGATGAACGAACGCCGCCTCCTTCTCCAGCGATATGAGAGGGAGGGACCCGAGAAATCGCTCAGCAAGAGCAACATCCAGCTTGAAGGCCATGGAAAGCGCCACCTCCGGACCAAAGAAATTGCAGATGTGTTCACGATCTCCTGCCGACAGGTCAGACCCCGCAGGGTCCATAATTTCTATATCCAGCAAGCAAACTGAAGTCAGCCCCTGCCCTTTTACAATAATAAATGAACCTTGAGCGATGTATGGTGCCTCCTTGTTTGCCATTCAACTTCCATTCGCAATGATACAAGGCCTCTCGAAATGGACACAGCATGTAGCGCCTTCCAATTGCCTTTGATCCTAGCTGTCGAAAACAAAACCTAGCAACTCCAGCAACTAGGTTCAAACACCTCCCAAGGGGGGGCTTCCAGATCAGATGTTAAGGTAGGTTCCAATCATCTGCCCAAACTCGAGTTATTAACTGGGCACTTTGGGTTTTAAGTGGTGACGGCATTATCCCGAATGTAACCTATGGGTATACCGTCAGCTATACAGTACTATCCCCCCCCCCCAAGAACCAAATGCAAAGATCCCCTCCCGAGTCGGCTCGCTGTCTCCATAGGCGCCTATCAGAAGGATTGGCGAAACGGCACACTTCTGATTACGACCCTGAAAGTAACCCTGAAGATCCCTGAAGAACCCTTGCATATTCTTGGCATCAAATCCCAAATTTGCAATCGCGGGCTTGGCCTCAAGCGGCCGGCTATCGTGCCCATGGCAGCACAATGGTTGGGTTTCGGATTTAACGGACGGAGATCTTGCATCACTTCGTTGATAGGCTCGGCATGCAGAGGGCAGTGACTTGAAATGTGTTTTAGGTTCGTTTAGACTTTAAAAATAACTTGCCAGCAGCTTCTTTCTTTGGCTTGATTGCAACAGAGTTTTGCCAAGTCCCCTCACTTCTTATGCCACTTCAAAACATCCAAGGCCGTGTCGTATGCCAACGATTGGCCGCTGTTTTCAGCGAAGTCGAAGTGGCGCAGTCGCAGAACCGCTAGTTCCCATTCCACCACAGCCTCGGGCTAGGGACCGTCCAGTCCTAGCACTTCCTACAAATACTGAAGGAGAAGAGCAGGATCCTATCATAATCAGAAGAGCAAGGAAGAAGAATACTCGTGAAGTGAAAATTGCTATGAAAAGCACGGTGATGGTGACCAGTAGTTTGAGTAATAGTGGGTCTTAGTAGAGTAGTAGTAGTAGTAGCAGTAGTAGTAGTAGTAGTAGTAGCAGCAGCAGCAGCAGTAGTAGTAGTAGCAGAGTAGTAGTAGTAGTAGTAGTAGTAGTAGTGGTGGTGGTAGCAGTAGCAGCAGCAGCAGCAGTAGTAGCAGTAGCAGTAGCGGTAGCAGTATATAGGAGTAGGAGTAGTAGTGGTGGTGGTAGTAGTAGTAGTAGTAGTCGTAGTAGTCGTAGTAGTCGTAGTAGTCGTAGTAGTAGTAGTCGTAGTAGTAGTAGTAGTAGTAGTAGTAGTCGTAGTCGTATTAGCAGTAGCAGTATGAAAGAGAAGCTCACGAAGCAGAGGCCGGCTTCGGCCCGCAGCATCCGCTCCAGCGAACTCGCCGCAGGTTGTTTGTAAAGGCACCGGGCGATGTGTTCACAATTCGAAGTTTAGGCTTGTGGCTTGGGGTGTAAAGTGGTGTGGGGTTCAATGGGGTCCTCAACCCTAAACCCCAAACCCCTACAGCCTAAACCCTAAACCCTAAACCCCTAAGCACTAAATTGTGGAATTCGGGGTTTAGGATTTGGGGTGAGGGGCGAAGGGTTCAGCTCGAGTTGCGGCTTGAGGTTACGGAACGGGGCCCGGTCGGTGTGAGATTAACAGATATGTGTATGTATGTCTGTATGTATGTATGTATGTGTGTATGTATGTATGTATGTATGTATGCATGTATGTATGTATGTATGTATGTATGTAGACATTTGTATATTTTATATATCATTCCTTTAAGTATAATATAATACATATATTGAAAAACTGTATATAGTATTTTTGATGCAGAGAGAGCGAGAGTGAGAGAGCGAGAGTGCGACAGCGAGAACGAGAGAGAGAGAGAGAGAGAGAGAGAGAGAGAGAGAGAGAGAGGGGGAGAGAGAGAGAAAGAGAGAGCGAGAGAGAGAGGGAGAGAGAGAGAGAGACAGGGACAGCGAGCGAGAGCGAGAGTGAGACTGAGAGAGAGAGAGAGAGAGAGAGAGAGAGAGATAGAGGGACGGACAGATTGTATTAAGTTGTTGCGCAACTTCTATCAATTTGATTTTGTATTTTCGGGCCTAGCAAGTAGCATAAGGTGAGGTGTTCTGTCCGTGAGTACGCTCCAGGTTTTGCGCGTTCCGCCGGCTGCAGTTTCTGGGCCTGGGCGTGGGTCATATCGGCACTTAGGACCTTCCAGCTAATCACGAAGACCTACTCGGGCTTGATTCGAGTCCCCTCGAGCACCCTTTCATGCCCTGAAGTGGCAGCATGAACGAAACCTTAAACCCTAAGTCCCTATACCCTAAACTCGAAGACCCTTAACCCTAGTCCCTAAAACCCTAAACCCTGATCCCTAAATCGTCGGAGCCGGAACTCGCAAATCTCTTTGGCCTGGCCTGGCCTGGCTCCGAAAGTATGGCAGAACCCACGTCTTTGAGAAGTTTCGGCCAGAAGCCCTTGCTTCCTTCGAAGCCCTCAGGCATCTCTCCCGTAGTACCCGTAGTACCCGTAGTATTCCTTAAAACCTTAAACCCTAACGCTACCTTCAACTACCATAACCTACTTTTCTTGTAGGTGCCTATCCTCATATTATATAGAAGTTATAGCGACGCTACCAAAAAGTAGGTTTTGGTAGTTGAAGGTAAGCCCTAAACCCCAAACCTCCAAGCCCGAAATCATAAACCCTCAACCCTAAACCTCTAAGCCCGAAGCCCCATAAACCCTCATCCCTAAACCCTGAAACCTCGAAGCCCGGAGCAGATCTTGCTTCGTCGCTCGGCGGCCCTGGACGTCTTGGGTAAGACGGAGGAGAGCCTCGACGACCTCAATGCCGCCAGGGCCTTTCTTCTTCTCGCATTCGGAGGCTTCTCGAGGGTTAGGGTTTCGGGACTTAGGGGCTTTGGGGATTATGGGGACTTAGGGCTTTGGGGATTATGGGGATGATAAGGGGCAGTAGATCTTGAGACCTTGGTAAAATCACAACGTGGCTTTTGCTGTGGATCACGATGTGCTATTAGTTATCACAGAGGCTAGTTAGTTGCAGAAGAACAACGCTACCAGATTGTTCAGAGATCCTTTGTCAGCGGCAGTAGAAGTCAGTTCCACTGAACTACAAGCAGCTATTCGGCCTAAGACATCACCTGACAACCGGGAGCCGTATTCACACTCAAAAGCTGTTGTTGTACATAGCTGTTGGGGGCTGAACTCTGTTCTCTCTTTGGCTGTCTTGGGCCAAAAGGGTTCAGGATTGATGACGGGGGCTCTAGTGAATCTAATGATCCTAAAGGGTTCAGGATTGATGACGGGGGCTCTAGTGAATCTAATGATCATGCTGAAAGCCGAAGCCCCTGAGAGGCTGGACACCTGTGCCCCGGATTGCTAGGGCTTTTGCTAGGCGCTGACTTTTTTTTTCCGGCATTGCGTCTTGCCTCCCGAGCCTCTCGGATCGGAGTGGCAACCCATGACTATGCTTATGGCAGTGAGGCCACATGCAGTGAGGCAGCCAGACCGGAAGACCGGCCACGAAATACTTGCAGTTGTTTTTTGAAAATACACAACATGATGAGCGCTGTTCAGAAGCGGAGCAAGTAAACTAAATAATAGGTGTAGCAGCTCAAAACAGTAAGCACGCTGCAGGCAAGCTGGCTTGAGATAGGGTCCATACTGACAGAGCGGCAGACACCAACAACAATGTCATGCTAAGTAAGGCCAGTAGCAACAGGAACAAGAATGCACACAAGCAGCAACTTTCACGCCAGCAACGCTGCGACTTGGGCCCTTTGCACAAGCAATGGCTCTGCCGATGCGGCTACAGGAAGTCGCTCGCCTTATGAGATCCAAGGACCTCCGGTGTTGGGGTTTAGAGTTTACCGGGTTGTTGTTAGGGGATTTAGTTTCAGTTACCAGAACAGGGATTTATAGTAAATAATATGGTGTCCTTATTATGGCAACTTCAAATTAAAGCCCTTAACAAGAACCCCAGCTTAGGGTTCCGGGCGTTCGGGGTTTCGGGCCCTGGGTCTATGCTTGGGTGTTTTCTGGGCTCTTCTTAGGGGGTTTTATGTAAGTTACCATAACAAAGAAAGAAACCATATCACTGACTGTAGATCCCCATTCTGGTAACTTAGTAAATCCCCTAACAAGAACCCAGTTTAGGATCTTCAGAAGGCGCAGGAAAAAGGAAGGGCACTGGAGCGTTGCAATCTGCTCGTTTCATGTTTTTGTCCAAGACGGAACTCGATCTGTGAGCCCTACAGGGCATCTACCGTTTAGGGTTTAGGGTTTAGGGTTTAGTCGCACACTGACTCCTTCAGTGCTGACTGTAGCGAGTACGCCGAAAAGGACGAAAAAACTTGAACAGTCCCACATCAAGAGCGTTGATGGCTGGTTTCTCTGACATTAAACTCTGACGAGTCTTATGAGATGAGAAGGGGTCCAGCGGCGTCCTCTGGTGCTTGTTGCTGCCATAAGCCGGCAAGACTCCTGAAGCTTCAACATGCGAGGAGTCCAACACTAAAGGCGATTGCATGCGAAAGCATGACCTTAGTAGCTGAGTAGGTAACCGTTAACCTTTTTGGGCTTATATAATCGTACCATAGTTGAAAGGTTAACCTTTTTTGGGCTAGGGTACTCAGCTCCTAAGTGACGGAAGCAACAAGAAGTGTTGTATCCGAGGCTCTGAAGCGCTATGACCAAGCGGACGCTTGGCCACAGTTTCTAGGTACGGGGCGTCGATTTGATAAGA